TTATTTATCAGCACAAATGCAACACACACACACACACACACACACACACACACACACACACACATAGCGCCAATGCAAGTCTAGGATTACATCCCTAACAAATATGCCCCCAAACTGTTGGAAATGTAAGCAAATACCTGGCCCATACTATCACATGTGGTGGATCTGTATCAAGGCAAGGAAATTTTGGATACAAAGTCATAGGGGGCTAGAACAAATGGTTAGACAATGTACAGAGTTTTCCAGAATTATTTTTATTAGGCATTATATCAGGTGATAAAGGGACAAGATATCTAATATTACACATCTTGACCGTAGCAAGAATGGTGCATGCGAAGCAGAGGAAGAGTGAAAACACACCTTCAGAGGAGGAGACGATAAGGAAGAGACTAGTCTGTGCGGAAATGGATAGACTAACGTTAAAAATAAAAGATAAAGGAGATACAGAATACTATGCTACATGGAATAGATTCGACCAATGGTTAGCAACACGAGGTGGAAGTTGGAATGCGAAAGAATCAGGGTAGGTGGACATGGAAAGAGATACTATGCAGGTATTAGAATGTTAGAGAAGTTGATATTTTAGAATGGTCAAAAATAACACTAGCACCATTTAAAATAGTATATATTTGTTTTTACCTTTGTTTTATGACAAGTGAAATGCCAGGACAATTACACTGTATTCAATATATTTAGGGAAAGGTAAATAAAGGTGCCCCTCGCACATATGAGCTAGTTGTTCCTGACTCTAGGGGGCGGTGCTCATCTCTGTTTCAAAGCCGAAGAGCCAGCACTGTCCGAAGATGTCTCCGTGGTCATGTGGCCTGCATGACTAAACGCCGAAGGCACACAGAACGCTCTTACCTTCCCACCAAAGGTGGTCCCTATTTTTTCTACTTGCATTTTTACGTGCTTTTGAACTGCTAGGTTGGCAGAAGCCAGGACAAGTCACGGGAGCTCACTCCGTTACGCGGCGCTAGGGATTCGAACCGCCGCTGACTTTTCTGATAGAAAACCTCAGTGTCTTAGCCCCTGGGCACCGCGTCCCTTATTCAATATATTTTTTATGTAAACAATAAAAAATTATATTTAAAAAGGAAACCACCCAGATAGCCAATAACTTCAGATTGCAATGTGGGGGGAAAAAAAATCTGAAAAAGGATTTTTTTAAAAAAAAAAGCTGAAGGAAAAGGAGAAGCTGCCATTCAATCTGCAGTAAGCCTTTCTAGCAAAAGGAAGAAAAGGAATTACCATCTCAGCTCTGAACCCCAGCCATTTAAATATTCCTCTTCCTACATTAATCAATAGAATTTGTTGCAATGACGTCTAAGCAACCACGATGCGAAGACCGAATGACGGCTTCATATCCCCTTAACAACAAGCAGATGTGTTGGGAGCTTTTCCTAAACAAATGGGTGGACACTGTTCCTTTTAACAGATGTTTGCCGACTCATCGGATCCACCCAGCAAAATTGTGCCAGTGCTACATAATGTTCTGTTTAAACTGTGGCTTTCACAACTCTTGATTTTTTCTTCTTCTTCTTCTTCTTCTTCTTCTTCTTCTTCTTCTTCTTCTTCTTCTTCTTCTTCTTCTTCTTCTTCTTCTTCTTCTTCTTCTT